CTATATTAAACACATTAAGAAAAGTGGCTGTAAGTGAAAAACTACACGAATTAGTGGCAGATGTGGTCGACTCGAGCGCACACACACACGAGAGAGAGAGAGAGAGAGAGAGAGAGAGAAGCACAGATTAATATATAATAGAATTCAAATAAAAGTGTTAATATATATATTGTATAATCAAAAATGATTTATCAAATTAGATTAAATAAAGTATTATAAGTATGACTCACTCAACGCATTGCCAAACACCGGGAGTGGGAACGGACCCCGCGGTAGGGAATATACTTTTACATAGAATCGCACTAAATATACAGTACTTATAGCGATACACACTGTAATCAACCAATTTATAATGACTTCAATCATTTTTAAATATTTTTACTCTCAAATTATTCTTATAATGATCCTTGTAATTATTATACTTTACTTTTTTATACTGTATATCATACAAAAATTTTATTCTTTATTATTTTAATGAAAAGCATAAATACATTTATTAAATTCAATATAATAATAATAATAATAATACATTCTGTTTGTTATAAACTATTTTCTGTTTATATAAATACCAACTTTTATCAAATCATTTACAATGATTATGAAATATTAAGATCTATTGACGATTTAATTAAGGTTTATATTTTTACTGTGTTTATTAATTTTGTGCTAGTTTAATGTTAGCCAATAATAATTAAAACAACATTATGACAATTGACTTTGTGCTAGTTCAATGTTAAACAATTATATAATACAGTATATGTACTTGTTTATTGTAAAAATATTTGTAGTGTAAGACAATATTGTTACTTATAAGTTATATATTATAAGTGCAGTTATATATAGTAACTTATATTATAATTTATAAGTTTGTAAATTTATAACAATTAATTGTTTACCGGCTGAATATGAAGTGATTTTTATAGACACTAAACGGATTTTTTTTGGGTGCTTTTGCACAGAAAAACATAAAATTTTGTTTTTTGCTGTGCAAAAGCAACGAGAAAGCATCCGATTGATGTGTTTAGTGTTTATTGATGACGCAAATTAAAAAACATGTTTTGCGTTCATTTAAATAACAATAAAAATATAAGTAATCATGTTTGTTAGTTTTAGAAATAGACATACAATTGAAACATCCGTTTCTTAAAGATTTAAAAGTCTGTAATTTATTTTAGAATAATTTATTAATTGCCACACTTATCATCAGGTTAAGATCAGCAATTTGACCTACAAGGTAATATTAACAAATGATCATAAATTATTCCAATTTATTTCAATTCATAATTATCCTGGTTTAGCACTAAATTTCTACTAAATACATAAATTTATACCAAGTATGATACTCTAAAATGTTGTAATACTTTGTGAAATAACAATTTTTGTTATCTTTACCACATTAACTACCTGTACAAAAATTGTTCTACGTGCAACTATTGAGAAACGATGCTTTTAACTAATTTATAAAAGTCATACTATTGTAAAATAGTTAATTAAATTACATCATACAATGGGTTCATTTATATTGATGCAGTAATCATTGTATTGTATTAGGTTTAACTTATAAATTAATAACAAAATTTTGATATATTATTATTATAATTTTATAGTTCACTACATTCAAATCAAATCATATGTAATTTATAAATTAACAATTAAATTTTATTAAAATTATTTTAACAATTTTTATATTATAAATATATTTTTAATTAGGAAATGATTTTTATAAATTTACTACCATGGCCTGTCTATGGCATATTTGCTACAATCGCGCTATTGTATTGGTAAATTAAGTTACAACAAAATTAGAAAATGTTTCACTAAAAAATTGAATATTATGTAATTTTTTGTAATCTAGGTACTTTACGAGAAACTTTAATTACTTTACTAAGCGTGGTATCTGTGGACCCAAACCAATGGTGGGCATTGGGAACCTTTGGGAGTTGATGTTCACACCCGTGGCTGAGCTCGAAATAAAGCGCTTCAAGAAATACGGCAAACTTTATGGGTATGTAATAAATATTTCTGTATAAAGTTTATATAAAATTATGTTGTTTTGTTTCAAATATATTTACAATGTCACATTTGTATATTGTTATATAATATTTGAATTATATTTTATTGATACAAAAATTGATATGGCTAATATAAATTTAATTATTTGTAATACTGCATATTTCCAAACATCATTAGATTGATCATTACAAAAAATAGTTAATTATAAGTCTAATTATTTATCCCAATAAAAAACAATAATCATTAATAACTGAATATTTGAATTTAATAAATTTTATAGTGTTTTTGAGGGCAACCGACCGGTGCTCAAAGTGGGCGATCCGGCGCTCGTCAAAGAGATCCTTCAGCGCGAGTCCGATGTGTTTCCGACCCGACGGGACGTCTCTAACGCCAAACACCCGATTGTGGACCTCATTATAGGCAAGAGGGGTGACGAGTGGCGCCGAATGCGGTCCACCGCTAGTCCCAAAACTACCGGCCAATTGCGAGCGTTATATCCATTAATTCGGCAATCGTTGGCCGAGCTGTTGACCAGTATAACAGCACACGTGACTCATAACAAGGGTAACTCTCTGGACATAAATGACTGGTTTGAGCGCTACGCTATAGACGTGTTGGCCCGCACTCTGTTTGACACAAACACCAACGCCTACACCGACCCAAACGACCCGTTTCTGGTGAACGCGCGCCGAGTGTATCGGCCACCGCTTTGGAAGATTGTGGTCACTCTACTTGTGCCCACTCGAGCGCTAAACGCGTTGAACATTAAGACAGAGACCAACGACAGAGCCGTCGACTTCTTCTACGAAATATCGCAAAATCTATTGAAACGCCGAAAAGAGGACAACAAGAGTGTGTCCTCTGGACTGAAGAGCACCGGACATGAGTTGCTGTCCGACAATGAGTTGATTTCACAGTTATTCGCGTCACTCAACGGCGGCTTCGCTTCGGTCGCCTCTGCGCTGGCCTTTTGCTGCCACGAGTTGGCACTCAATGCGGACATTCAGGACCGACTGCACCGGGAAGTGACCGATGGTCTGCCGCCGATAGACGCCGACGGCGACCACAACAACTACGATCTGGTGTTGAAATTGCCATTTCTGGACGCAGTGGTGGCCGAGACTATGCGACTGCACGGCCCGTCTCTGCGCCCCTCGCGGGTCACCGGCAAAGACTATCGGTTGGCCGACACCGGACTCACACTCGAGAGGGGACTCATTGTGGAGATCTCTGCCTACGCTATGCAACGGTCGGACGAGTTGTTCCCATTGGCCGACCAATTCATTCCCGACAGGTTTGCGGCCGACAATCGGCACCAAATCTTGCCCTTCACTTACAACCCGTATGGGACGGGACCGCGCGGTTGTGTGGGCCAGACATTTGCCCAACTGGTCATGAAGTCGGCCATTGCTTATCTGGTCCGCCGGTTTCGGTTCTCGATGTGCGCCGACACTCAACTCCCGGTTCCGCTCACGAAATACATTCGCATACAATTGGCCGAAACCGTATACCTGGCCGTTGAGCCCCGCGACTAAAGTACATTAGCAGTAGTTGTTTACAGTGTTTTTCTGTATGTTTAAAATAGTATTTAATCAAGAACAATTATTAAATAAATATGAAAATCCTTCAATAATATAAGTCAACTATTTTTCAAATAAACCCTCCCCAATAATCTCTCCCATAGAATCTCTGACCCTCTCTTTCTCTCGCACTTACATGGAATTCCCCATATTTACC